CTCGAAGCCACCACTAGTGCGCACAAACGCGCGCGCCCCACGCGAGGTTTAATATTCTCTTCCCTTTCTTTTTTTTTTTTTCATGCACGTAATAATTCATATCTATATCGACTATCGCTTTGGGTCCACGCAGGTGAAAATAAAAAATAAAAAAATAATAAAAAATGACCATTTATCACAATTCGATCGTCGCTGGGCATAGTCCCGTACGCGCATACACGCACGGAATCTCAATTGCGCAATTCGTATCTCCATGCGCGTGTGTAACGAATATTCCTCCACGTCATCGTTGACCATCGTCGTCGTAGTCGTCATCGACGGAGCGACGGTTAACTCGTGCATGCCACTGCGCCCCCTCGCTTGACCATCTAGGCTTATTATACATATAGACAGAGTTAGGGTATGTAACGCGCATGTGTACCTATATATCCCAGAGTAGAGAGAGCAGCAGTAGCAGCAACATTTCCCAAATAGAGAGAGCCAAGTCCAATGGGAAACCTCTTGGTAATTGAAAATTACCCATGCCGTTGCCGCCGTCGCTACTGCTGCTGCTTCAACCTAGGCATGCTGCAGTTATCCATCTGGGGAGTGGCACACACTCTAATCACAGGGTGACTGACAAGTCGCAATGCACCTGTCTCGTTCTTACTTGGTGTATAAAATTATTCTCTCCTATAATTATACGTCATTTTCTTGTCCTCTTGTGTATATAAATTTATCCGCACGCGTATTAAACAGTAATCCGTTTTCTTTGCCGTTGACACGTTAACTGCGCAACCGAGCCTTAGTATGTAAGGACGCAGTGTTCTTAATTTATACGCAGTTGTATTTTATTCATCGGATCGTCGACCCTTCTCAAGTTTCGCTCTTCTCTGTCTTAAATTGTGTCACATCAGTTCATGAGAAAATCCTTCGGTTGCAGATTACGCAAAGTCGCAATGGCAGTTACAAATTTGCTCTCGCTCGACCCACGTGAAATGTGTACGATGTATCCATTGAACGCGATACGCACCCGGCGTTGTTATGGATGCGCATTAAGTTCATTCGAGGCGTAAATCGACGCGCAATAATAAACACGCACTCGATATTCCAATACATACTTTTTGGCATTATCCCGAAGTCTCTTTTCAGTTCCTCTTCCATTGCTCATGCACATCTATAAGGTATAGCAGCTCTACTGCGCTCTGCGTCGACAGAGCTTTCATCTCCGGTATATATACGCGCACGAGCGAGAAGCTCATTTGAATAGAATCGTAAATTGAACGTCGGGCGCGATGCACGCAGTAAACTTAAATTGACAAATCTCTGGCTCAGTAGCGCAGTATAGAGAGCTCGGTCGCTCGTTCTCTGACAGAGGAGAGAAACATTTTTTGTTCTCGGCCCAAAAATACATTTATAATCGTCGTGGCGCACTATAACGCAGCAGCAGCTCTCGCTACTGGAGCTCTCGGTCATTTCAACGAAAAAACAAATAAATATTATTTCTCCAGTGCAGCAAGCGCGAGAAATAAAAGCCTCGCGCGCGCAACACGAATGGTAGAATAATTGCGTAGCAGCGAGGATCGTCGTCGTAAAAGTAGCATCGCGTATATCGTATACGACTAGCTCACAACGGCAGTCAAACGAAATCAGAACACCGCGTAGACTTTTGAAATGGCAGGATGTATAAAGCATCGCTTTTCACAATCAATCTTTACGTGCATTTGTGTGTGCATGTCTGCAGTAGTAACCACTCTCGCACAGTCGCGTACTACAATCCTATCTCGCTTCAACGTCGCGTTGCGTCGCATAGCACGGGCCAAGTGCTGGGCATGTTGTGCAAGCTCTCGTTGCAGCCGTAGTAGTAGTAGCCTAGCGAATGCTATTTTCGATTCTCGTCGTCGTCAGCGCACTGCAAGCGTGTATAGGTGTGCGTGCGTATGAGCGCTCTTTTTATTTCATGCACACGATTTCACCTGCATCGTCCGAAAAAAAGGTCGTACGTACGTACACAGGTATAAAACGCACGTGCGTACAGCCAGAGAGAAGAAGGACAAGCTATAAATGTTGCCCCCCCCCCCCCCCCTCTCTCTTCTCTCTTGAACTCAACCCACGAAGCTTTCGAAAGGCGACTCTCTGTCCTGTCACGCTTGAAGCGCCAAAGCGTCAATCATGATTTGTACGTATAGTGTAGCACTCCGATTCGGACGATAGATTTGTGTGAGTGCGTCGTCCCTGCGTTTTCTCTGCCACTCGTGTGTGTGTTTGTGCGAGTGTGTGGATACGAGTTTTCCAGCTCGACGTAAAAGCTGATTTTCCCGAAATGTATAAATGCGAGCTCGCGTCGTCGTTGTAGTCGTTGTTGGGAGTTTGATGATCGTGACAGTTGTGCGTAAATGTTGACAGTCTCACTGAACGCGAGCAGGGATGAAATTTTTTTTTTGCGCAGACTGCACCGGTCGTGTACCAGCATGAAAATGACGAATGATGTTGGCAGACACGGTGTACCAACGCATCGACGCGCGTGGGACTTGATTAGGCTATTCGATTTTTTTCCCTTTTGCGAGGATCTTAAAAGTTGTACGTACGGAGTATCGCATTTTCTTTTTAATATCGAAGAAAAGAAACTGCAGGTGGAAGAAAATTAAGGTACTTAAACGGCGAAACATCCTCGTTGAGAAGGACGATTTGCACCTCATACGCGCGTAAACCTAACTCAATCAAAACTTGGCAAGGCTGACGTGGCGCGCTCGCGCTTGGACGAGTTAAGAAGGCAGTTAGTATTTTTTCCTCGAGGTTAGCCCATTTTGCGCGAGTAAGAGGCATTATATGTTTGAAAAAACTCCGTGACCTCAAAAAGAATGAAAACGCGCCTGTATACGTATATAGACGACTCTCTCTTTCCTGCCTCAAAGCTCTTTCAGGCGTGCACGAGTTTCTCTATCTTCTCTGTCTCTGTCTTTCTTACTAGAAAAAGGCTGGAGAGAAGCGAAAGAGAGAAAGAAAGAGAAGAGGAGCTAGGACGAAAGAGAAAGACCCGTAGCGAAAGTTGACGCGGAAAAGCGTATAGCAGTAATATCATTTTCTCGAACGTACCGCGTGATAACACAGCCTCTGTGTATGTGTACGTGTATGTGTGTGCGTTTAGTCGAGGTACTACTAGTCACGCGAGGTGCGGTTACAGCAGTCGTGATGCTGTGCTTCTTTTATTGTTATTATCATTTTTTTTCTTTTCTCCACTCCTTCTCTTCGTTTCTCTCTTCTTCGCAATGTGCCGCCACCGCCACCGCTACTGCTGCTGCTGCTGCTGCTGCTGCTGCCGCCTCGCTTTTCCATCCTATGCGCGCGGAAATTTTCTATTGCTTTTACTCGCTCTCGTTATAACGTTGAAATTGTCACTTTTAGTCTTTGAGTACTCGTTAAAACATTTTCTTTTAGCAAAATAAAAAGTATGTACTTGCGCGTGTATATGTATTCAAGTTGAAAGAGCTCCCCCGCGTTTGATGTATCCGTGAATTATCGCTTGAATTAATATTGAGAAAAAACTACCGGGTTTGCTCGTCGCATTTGCCGCGAGTGCACGAAACACAAACGAATTCAAAAATAGTTATAGAACTGATGAACTCATGAATTTTTCAAGTTCTTGACTCGCATTCGCTTTAACGTCATTTCACGAGTGTGAATACGAAATTGGTACGTGAAAAAGCACGTGCACGCGATTCCATGGATTTTTGCTTTCTAGTGGTTTAAGCTATAAATGGATTGATAAATTGGATATTGTTCAGCAATTACTTAATTTAATTCAATTTAAATAATTCGAATAAGTCGAATTTATTAGCAATGGAATTTTCTCCTCAGATGGTGCGAAGAACATTCGGAATGATTATAATTAAATTTAATTAAAATTAAAATAATTAAATTCATTTTATACTGACGAGGAGATTGCGTGGAATCTGGGACTCTAAATTTTTTCCAAAATTTGTTAGCACTTGCACTTTAATTTAAAATTTAAAATATTTTTTCAAGAAATCAACGAAAATTCTGGCGAAAATTTCTATTTATTACCGAATACATTGCAAGCAAGTATCAAAATAAAGTATAATATTTTGATAGTTGTTCGAAAATATCAAAAGGATTTCTGGGACAAAAAGGGAAAACCCCGAAATATTTTTGGACTTGTTCTCAAAAATTTGTTGAAACAAATCCATATTTTGGGTCACATGAATTTAATATGAATCGAAGTACTTCAATTAAGTAACGTTTTATTTTTACTGAGATACTGAAATATTGAACAGAATACATAGTCGGATGATTGTGAATCGGAGACGATAGAGTACGAACACAGTCAAACGGATTATTGAGTTGCACCAGCAGCTGAGTGGAAATGGAATAACTGAATTTGCAATCTAAAATTGCCAACGTTGAAATCATACTGCACTGGAAGAGAACGTCGTAAGGGCCCGCAACCGAAACTTTCAAGCGATTGTTTTATATGGTCACGTAATTTTAGCTATGCATTATAAGTTCGTGCTTCTTCCAAATAACCAAACTCCCGCGTCGAGGAGTAATTAAGATTCTCTCTCGCTCTTATATACGTATGAAAAAAAAGAAGGACGAGGCGGTTTCAGATCCACTCGGCGGCGGTGGGGCTTGCGGAGGAATTATTCGTCATCAGAATAGAAATATCGCCGGATAAATAATGCTCGCTCTTGAGGCAGTGTGCCATTGGAGTATATAATTAACGCCCACATCGAGCGCACGAACGTATCCGGCGCGTATATCCGAGAGAGCTCCGCCGCCGCCGTTGCCGCATGTAGTACGCTTAGCCAGAAGCTAACTCGCAACAGTAGCGGTAGCTAGTTGAGATTTATGTGCAGCCGCACGCGCGCTACGTACCCGAGCTCGAGCCAGCGCGCGGCTCATCGAAATTGCACCGGCAGAGAGAGAGAGAGAGAGAGAGAGAGAAACTTTTTGCTAATTATACAAGAGAGAGAGAGAGAGAGAGAACGTGAGAGGGTATGATGGGAAATAAGGGAGGAAGAGGCAGGAGGGGTGCTGACCCGAAAACAAGCTGTCAGAAGCAGGTGAGCTTTTCGTTTGCTCGCTCGCTCACACATATAGACACAGACACAGACACACATACACACGATACGTTATACACACGCAATTAGTAGAGAAAGAGAGAGAGAGAGAGCGAACGAGAGAAGCTATCTTGGTAAATAGATGGCATAGAGTAGGAGCAGTTGCGCGCACTTGAAATACTCATCATGTGGCTGAGTAATAAGCCCAGAAGCGTATTAATAGCGTTTTCTTCGATGCTTCTTGCTTTTATGCAGCACACATATACTATATAGATAGAGAGAGAGAGAGAGAGAGAGAGAGAGAGAGAGAGTCACTGAACGAGTAAAAGACGTCACCCGCGTGGATGTGAGCTTGGGAGGGTGCAGCACATACATAATATACGTGTGTGTGTGTGTGTGTGAACTATAAGCTGTTAACCTATACGTTGCCTCAAACTTGCCGAATAATATGTGTGTGCGTGTTTGGACTTTGGATGCAACTCGCAAGAACTCTGTGCTCGCGACTCTGCCAGAGTAGCACGATAGAGAGAGAAAGAATATGAGGCCACGTGCAGCTATATATGAACGCGGTGGAAAGTGGATTATTCATTAAGAAATATAATATTAATGCACTCGACTTGAAAGAAGCTTTAGATTATTAGATTACCGAGCGAAATGCAATATTATCAAGTTTTATGAAGTGTGTCTTGATTCTTTAATCACTTCTAAATTCTTTTTTAAATATACATTTTTTTTATCAAAATGCTTACTTTTTGAATTGGGAATTGTCGAAATAAAGTGATTTTATCCATCGATAGGTTAAAGCGTCAATAAAAACTAAAATAAATATTTTTCAGCAACTTTCCAGTAAAATTATATGATACAATGAAGAAATATGAGCGAAGGAGAGTAAAAAATAAAATAAAAATAAATTGAGAGACACTAGTTCATGTACATTGAACAACTGAGAGCGAATATTTTTGTTTATCTTATCGTCTACATCCATTCGAGCAGAAGCTATTTGATTTCCTGAGATTCACAGCTGACTAACCATACTGCTTCCAGTGTCGCAAAATTTAACCATAAATTTTGCTTTCAAGAGGCAAATGACAATGAACGAAAAGGCCAGTCAATTGTACGTCAAGAAACTTGCAGATTGTAAAATATCGAGACTGAAGGATGGAAATGAGACAGCAGCCGAAATTCTTATTACCGAGATTAAAGAGGCCGTTCAGAGCGAGCTGGTGAGTCAAGTGTCGGACGCCGAGCCTTATTGCGTGGACGACCTCGCGCAGACCATCAAGAGTCACAGCAAAAATGCCACGACGCAAACCATGTACCACGATTGGGCGGGCTATTCGGGAGTTCAAGATTTCGGTAATAGCAGACAGGATAGCAATAATATGTATGCTGATTATCACGTCGAAGACGTAGAGATGATGGTGAGTAGTTGTTGTTTTTAATGGCAATATTGGTTACTATATTTTTTTTGTGTTTCAGCTGGCAGAGAATGAAAAAAACATAGAGAGCAACGATTTGAAAGAATTAAAAACGATGAAAAAAGCAATCAAACCCCATATCCAGGTAGAGCCTTACGAAAAGGTTCAGGATTTGGAAATGGTCGAAGACAATAATTTTAACATCTTCAATTTTCATCATTTATGTTGGCATCCTACGTGGACAGGTTATTGCGCAGTATCCGTTTCATTGACGGTAATACTTTTACATATGAGTGTACGGATTGTACTAATACTTTTTTATCATCCATTCACTTTTTTGCAGGAGCCAAACGAAAAGTTTACTGATATTAAAATTTTAATTTGGTCATTAGAAAACCCCTCGGCGCCAAAAATCATTTTAAAATCAAAAGCCAAGGGGACTGTGGAAACTCTGTCTTATTGCCCGTATAACGACAGTGAAAATCGTACTATTGTTGTCGGCGGTCTCTCCAATGGTCAAGTAATGTTAAAATTTTAATTTTAAAATTAAAATTTTTGAAAAGTTTTGGCATAAATGTCTACACACGTTTATATTCAATGAAGACCCACTTTGAAAAGTATAACATGCTCATTCGTGCACATAGTGCATAAAGTAGCGAATTTAATTCTTCCTTTTAATGCTCTTGCTAACAGAGCGATTATTTTATCATTCACTAAAGCCTGACCTAGTTGGGAGGGGTGGGGATTTGTAGTAACCGAAAGTTTATTAATTGAAAGAAAATGTATGTCGAATGTAAAAGACCGATTACATAACTTGAAGTTTTAATTAAAACCTCAATAAATACGTCGAGTAACATATCACTTTTTTTATGCACAGATTTTGATCTGGGATCTAGGAATAACCAATATTAATAGTGATGAAAACGACCAAAAAGAGATATGGCCGTGCATTCATTCCGACGAACAGCATTGCCAGAAATCAAGTTTCAAAAGTATCGAGTGGCTTGCAGCCAATCATCACATTAACGAAACGGGACAGATACAAGTTTTTCGGGGTCAAAATGGCACCGACTTTTTAAAGGATCCAAATTTGCAATTCGTCGCAGCAAGCCAAGATATGACGATTTCCTTTTTCGATCTCAAGTTATTGTTCATTTTTCATTTTTGTATTTAATTGGTACTTTGTAATAGAATCACTTAAATTAATCTTCACAACTCAGGTGGCAGCCAAGCCGTGGCGTTAAAGAGATAAATAAAAAGGATGTTAAAGACTTAGGTACTTTTAACGAGGAATCGCCGTATTACAAACTCAACGGAATCTGGCGGCCAGTATTCAAAGTATTTGTAAATTTTCAAATCACTACCATGTGTTGCATATTTGTTCCCGTGCAACCAGAACTCAAATCCAACATGGACATCGATTTTTTTTTAAAAAATAGCGAGTGGACCGAAGATCCGTTTCAATCTCAAAAGTTTACCAAAAACATATTTAATTACGAGTGGCAATTGGAGGAGAGCAAAGTGAAAAATCATTACGCCTGCTACGAGAACAACAAAAATACTCTCAAATCCGACAAAGTCGGGGACTCGAGCGGCAACGACGACAACGACGACGATACGAAAGTAAAATTAGTGAGACCGAAAATGTTTATTGGTACGGAGGACGGCAGGCATCTTTACGTAACGTGGCAAGGTTTCCATACCGACGTCATCAATTCGCAGCATTGTAAAATAGTGTACGAGTATCCCGAGGAGAAACCCGATAAACCGAGGCCGGTGACGCACGCAATACGCTCGCCTTTTTTTCACGACATCTTGCTCACCATCAATGGGGAAAAAGTCTACATATGGCGAGTGGATAACCCACTGCCGTGCTTCGAATACAATAACGAGATGAACCCGAACATAACGTAAGTAAAATAAAATAGCGTAAGATACAGATGTGTAAAAAAGATATTGCTTTCATGAAAAAACTTTAGTTACACCTCAGGATGCTGGGACAGAAGAGATGCCAGCGTGATATTGCTCGGCACGTCGAACGGTGACATTGAAATTTTGGATCTAAAAATCCAACAGGACATCTTGAAATGCTCGATTCCGAAGCAGATAAAGTGGAAGAAGATCGTCAACACCGTTATACTGGGCGAGATCACGGGATTCTATCCGCATGCGATACCTCTGCAACCGTTAGTCATCGTCGTGAGCGACGTCAAGGGAGGCCTGAAAATTTACAAAGCCAAGGGAAAGAAATATCGCGTCCTAAAAGAGATCGTCGATTACGGCACGCGCAACGAGCGCGTACTGCGCGAGCTCGAGATAAACGACAAGGAATGGCTGCGAGAATTCATTAACGGACGGACGAGCGATGTAAATTTTCGATTTATGCCTAAAAAATTAATAACCCCGATTAATGGAAAGCTAATTTTACGTTTTTACTCTCTCGCACAGGTGCTCATAAAACAACTGAACGACAAATTCGAGGAGTCGATGGGCGAACAATGAAGAAGATAGCGAGAGATAAATAAGACGTGGCGTAAATGCGATATTTATCGGCGTGTATTCGAGCGATATTATTAGGTATCCCAGCTCCACATCTCGGGTATTCCTAATTAATCGACACTCGAATGAACTTTAGCGATTGCAAACTTGCGCGCGAGTTTTCCGATTACGATTGCCCGAAATGCTCTCGATTCGTTGGTATGCATTCGCTCACACATACACACATCTATTTTTCCAGATGATATTTATGTCTGTATTATTCAAATATCGGACCGGGGGAGAAAGGGCGCGTCGCTGGGACGTATGCATGTATTTATAATCCTCCAATCGAGTATAATATAGAATAACGACTTTTGAAAATTTGAAGCATCGAAACGAGTGGCACGTGAATTTAACCGAGTTCCAACGTACTGCACGAAAGAGAGGGAACAAGAGAGAGAAGTGCATCAGTATATCGTAATGCCAATCACGCCGGCTCTATCGTTGTGTATTTGTATGTGTGCGTCGTGGATATGTACGCGCGCACACATGCGTATACTCGAATGATGTCACGATTAGCTTCGAATAGTTGAATTCGTGGCGCTTCCCCTTCCTTCCGAACGCCCCACCCGCGCTGAACGGAATGTTTAATACTACGTGCCAATGTCGATTGTTATTACGAGTGTAATAATACTTATGTTAATTAATTTTTCTTTTCAGCGTTGAAATAGAGAGCGAAGCGTTCGAGCCCCGAGGGAGTAATGAAAATTTTGAAAATAAAAGCTTAGCAGTTTTTTGTTTCTTGACTCGACTCTTTTTCTTTCCTCGCCACTTTTTTTGGATTATATCGAATGTACGCAAGCTGGCGCGTAGATATACACAAAGTAAGAGTCAAGCCCTCTCTTGCCCTCCCCTTTTTTTCTATTTTTGCCGACCAACTCGTTATACTAGCTAACGGAATTAACGGGCTCGCTCTCTCTACGTGTCCAGATGAACGGTAAAATAGAGAATTTTTACGCCGGGCTGCAGTACAAAAAGACGATTCGAAGAGATAGAATGAAACTTAAGTGTGTGTGAGGATGTGTAGGTGTGTGTGCGTGTATGAGTGGTTGTGCGAGGTAGAGTAAGACTAAAAAATGGCAAAGAGAGAGAGAGAGAGAGAGAGAGAGAGGTACGAAAAGAGAAAAGGGAGAGAGAGAGGAAGTGTGAAAAAGAAACGTTGGCGTGACAGTCGACAATTTTTCACAATTAAAGCGGATTAAAAGTGTGAGTGGCGAGCGAGCGACGGGCCAGCACCGAGCCGCTACCTCCACGTAAATGAATTCGAAATGTCAAATTACTACTTTTATTTTGCGCATGTATAATCTTACCCATGCGCGTGAGTCCACGCAACTTTCTTGGAACTCTCGACGGTATTTTCAGCGATTTATTATAGCAGCGAGCGTTTATATGGTCGTGTCTCTCTTGCACCGATTATTAATTTCGTATCGCGGGTGAGAATTGTCACGCGCATTATTGAACTTGAGAAAGGTCGAAGAAAACGATACGATAATGTATACCCAAACGACGACGATGACTGGAAAAGCAAGAAAGAGAAAAACAGAGAACGAATGAATGAAAGCTGAAAAATTGTTGTAGAACCGCACACGCTAGGTGGATTAACAATGGGTATAACTCGATATTTCCTGCTGCGTACCGGTCATAAATACAATCTCTTTCTCTCGCTCTCTGACGTATCCCACTTATCGGAAAAGTTTGTATTATATATATATATATCTTAGAGCAAAAGAGAGAGACAGATATTAGAAACGAAGCATCGCTTTTTCTTCACTTTATAATATAAATCCCCATCCGAAAGAGCATGAAAAATCGCCGCCCCCGACAAAAATCAATAATCATTCGAGCTTCACGGGCTTTTCTCTCTCTCCTCCAGCTTCGGAAATCTGACGATTCATTGACTGCGCGCGAGCTACTCTTTCTCATCATCGCACGCAATTGCAAGGATTAAAGTTTGAGGGAAAAAGTTCCGTACCCACTGAGTTTATTGCCGTGTTCTGGTATATATATGCGTGTGCAGAACCGTTCGAGGCACGACGGCGATGAGCAGCAGCGCTCCTAGTAGCTCCCAAGCAGATGAGCTAAATGTACGGGGAGCAAAATTTTCTGCTATTTCAGCTTTTACGAGAGTCTTCTATTTTATATATATACGTAGGTATAATTTTTTTTTTTCGACTCATTCGTTTTTTTCTCCCTTATTTTTTATTGCCCCGTCCAATCTCACTCTCGGGGTATATTTTAGTGAACACAATTATTAACAAGAGCTGCAAAAACGTAAGAGTCTAGCGCGCTGCAGCGAGTGCAGCTAGCTTGCGCCGCGCGGGCACTACTACGCGAGCGAGCGCGAAGATCCTGAAAATGGAAGAAAAGAGTTCCCTTAGGTGGGCTTGGGATATAATTGTGCAAAATGACTGCACCTTATTTCGAGCCCTCGGGGATTCGCTCTCTCTCTCTCTCTCTCTCTCTCTCTGTCTCTCTTTCTTACTCAACTAGTCCCTTACACTCTCGCTGTAAGTATACACTGACTCTCTTTCTTGAAAATAGTTCCCTCTCTCACTCTCTGCACGGTCTTGGTGGAAAATTTCGTACGCTTTTTATCTTATCCCCGAGTAGGTCTTATATACTCTTCACCTGGCCGAGTAAGAGACCGAGGTTGTCTCTCTTTCCTTCTCTTCCTCGATCGTTAGCGACTGCGGCACGCGTTTTCGTGAGTATATATACACGCATACTCTCACTCTCAACCGGCGCGCGCCTACGCGCAATAAAAGCCCAAAAGAGATAAGTGATAATGAAATTAAGTGGACGCGAGTTCGTTGAGAGTTAAAGAGAAAGAGACGGCGGCAGCGGTGCGGTAGTAGTCGTAGTACGAGATTGAGATAAAAGCTCTCGGGCAGGGAAGAGAGGTAGATCCACGCCGTGCGTGTGTGTCAGAGCTCGGTTGGCTTATGTATTTTATATTCTTATTCCTCCCTCATGTGCTGCTGCTGCCGCTGCTTTCCCGCATGCCGGTCGGCTATACTTTGGCTGGAATATGTATACAGCGAGGCGCGCACGTACACTTCGTTGTCGATTACGAGGTAGAAATTTGTGAATTTTTGACGTAACGACCTTCACACCCATGGAGACAGGAGAGGGCACCGTTGAGAGCTAAGTGGAGCGAGACAATTTTATGCCTGAATTAAGAGAAGTGTATGTGTGGCGTAGCGTACATATAGATATATCGGAGCGAAGAAGGAACAAGCGACAAAGAAAGAGAGAGAGAGAGAGTGAGAGAGAGGAAAGAGTTCCATGGGAGGAGTTTTCCCAGCTTAATGGATTCCGCGATCTCATAATTACTGCGTGGTAATCCTCGAGCTTTGGGAAGCTGTACCCTCCGACCGATAAGAGGACCGACTTTATACATACATACGAACGGCAAACGAAGCTTTTGTATTGATTTTACTGCCTTAAGCGCGTGTATGTACGTTAGTTTCTTCTTTCCTGTTTTTTTTCTCTTATCGATCGCGCGTTTACCGAGATCTCTCTGTACTACTACGCCATTTTGGTTGACGAACGAACGTGAATTTTCGAGAACAAAAAAAAGAGAACAGAGAAATGCCCTCTCAATCATAATTTTCTTTCCTAATCACGAGGGTAGCAGCGCCCCCCAACCCTGCTGCAAAGTTTCAGTGACGGAAAAGTTCCACGGAGCCCGTGCGCGTAACTTGTTTTTTTCGCTTCATTGGTCAGACCGAAAGCCTTGCGTAAGTCGATTATTAGTAAAGCCACCCTCTTCGCCCACTCCCTTTCGTCCATACGCAACAATGCGATTTGTCGAGCACGAAAAATTTAACCTTGCGCGGCGAGAACGTCCAAAAAATCCCTCGAGTATTATGTGTATTCGCGAATTTTCGCGCTGTGAGTGGAAATCGAATATGGTTTGGCTTCGAGCTTTTTTTTAATATTATTTTTTCTCTCGATCGCACGCCCGCGCACGCTTTCTCCTCTTCTCTCCACTCTTTGCAAAGTACAAATTTTGCACTTGAAAAATCCGCATATTGGAAAAAGAAAGCTTATATTCGTCGAACTCGCGTGCGCGGGGCATTATATTTATCATACTTTTCGCATATAAGCTATCTATTCCATTAACTTTTACGAGCAGCGTATAGTTGGCGCAAATGATAAAACTTTTTACCACTAAAAATATTATGAACGTTTGAACGAGAAAAAAGAAGGAGAGAGAGAGAGAGAGAGAGAGAGAGAGAGAGAGAGATGGGAGGAAAACGTAGTTCATACTTCTCGAACTCGGGCAATAATGCGTTCCTCTCGTTATACTGCATGCATACACACATACAAGCACACACACGTGCAGCCTGCGAAAGCTCCACCTATATATATTGCATCATAGTTCCAACAACTCGTTTTGTATATATGTAATATAAATATACATGTCGAGCTCTCGCGTCTGTCTCACTTTTCGGCTGTATATAGTTTAGGTTAAGATAGCTCAACAAACAAGCTTCGCGCATGGGTTATATTCGCTTTCCGTGATTTAGAGAGATTCTCTCTCTCTGTATAGTTGCTGCCTCTCGAGCGTAGCCTAGAGCCTGGGCCAAGCTCACCAGCCAGCCAGCCAGCCAGCCAGGATATTTCATCATTTTCACGCAAGGTGCAACACAACGACTAAACTTCATTGAATTACCGCGCGTGCAGCACAGTTGGGATATTTCATTCGTTTCTCTCTATCTCTCTCTTTACTCCCTCCCTCTTACTCACGAGTGCTGTGATATATATTGCAAAACTTTTTCAACGAGCTAATTTGTCGTTTGAGAATCTTTCGAGCTACTAAACGACGAGGACGAGTACGAATAGGAGTAGAAGGACGCGCGCGAGACGACGTCATGTCGAGGAATTAATCAATGGAGCAGCGAATAGGGATGTAACGATGCAACACTGCACAAGCCACCACTGCCGCTGCTGAATTGCTC